CTTTCCTCCCGCGTATCCTGCGGGGACGAGTCGGGCCTCGACCTCGGCGGCGTAGAGGGTGGGGTGCCTGCTGCTGCAGGGCGCTTGCGCACAGGCCCATCACCTCCCTCGTCGGAACCAGCAGCTGCAGGTCGCTTGAGTGGCGCTGCAGCGGGACGCTTCCTCGGCGGGGGGATGGGTGCACACCGACAAGCAATTGATTAATCGCTGAGAGCAGCGAGGGCCAGGGGATAGTATGGGGGTGAGGGGCATGGGCGAGAACAAAAAGGACGGTGAATGCAACATGCATGCGCACTCGGCGGTCCTTGATGTCGACTTCCCTGCAGCCGTGATCATCGCGTCCTTCTTCGCCTCGAGGTCCTGCTTGGTGTCGCCCTGCAAGTGGTAGTCTGCCAGCTTCTTGCACGCGTCCAGCGCGTCGCTCTCGGACTTGAAGTACTTGATCATCACCTGCACCACCTGGCTCCATGCAGCACGGATGCTATACGTCCCATCGTTCTGCCACCTCTGATTTTCCCGCGCGCGCCCCGCGAATGGGCGGGAGTGAACAGACACGATTGATACGAAAGCGGTGGCAGATCGACAGAATGATCGGTGGGGCAGTGTTGGTTCTTAGACCTTGCCACCTGCTCCCTCTCTGCGGTCGGCCTCTTGTCCCTCACGCGCAGGATCCAACCTGTGGGCTCCTTGCATTTGACCACGGCCATATGCTCCTTCGTCCAGATCTCGCCAGTGGTCTGCTCCACGCTTCCTCCCGCGACGGGGGCGGGGGAGGAGGAGGCGCGCGAGGGCGAGGAGGTGCCCATGATAAAGTTCTGGTCTGTTCGAAGATTGTCGACATCGGTCGGGATCTGCATCGATCGAGCTGGATTGCAAACTGTCCTTCTGCTTTGATGTCCTTGCACAACACATCGGGCACGACATGAGTGGAGCCGTCTCGCCACCTGGCGAATGCCAGCGACGGCGCGACTCGAGTGGAATGCAAATGTGCATGCATGTATGCATACACGAAACATACGTATACGTACATAAACCATGCATGTGCATACATGCATACATACACGCAGGTATACACAGACGTACAAATATACATACACATATACATCATGCATACATCCATGCATGCATGCATCCATACATGCATATACCCACATACATCCATGCATAGATCATGCATATCATGCATCACACTCTATTGACACCTCTCCCTATCCACCGTGCAATGGCAGGGTCGTCGTCCCCTGCTCCAGAGGGCCGTTCCAATGGAATCGTGCTGTACTCCTTATGTGCTTTCTTACTCGTGCGCCTCCATGCTGCTGCAATCTCATCGTCGTAGCCGTACTCGTACTCAGCGCCCTTTTTAGAAGGACGAGTGGTTATATTATCTGACGGAGGGGAGAACGAGTAGGATGATAGAGATGGGGAGTTGCCAAACCTTGTCAGCTTTGGCGGCAGGTTTGCGGCTGACTGCACGGTCTTCATCTGCTCCGCTGCAGTCGTCCACCTCCTCATCGGGCTCCTCCTGCAGCTCCTCCTCTTCGCCCTCCTCGCCTGCGGCCTCCTCGGCCTCTATCTCCTCCTCCTCCACGTCCTCGCCCTCGTCCTCTCCCTTCTCTGCGTCTGGGTCGCCGTCTCCAGGAACGCGCCCCTGGGAGACAGCGGCAACACTAGCATGACACGGAGGGGAGGGAGACGACTGAGGTTGGTGCTGGAGTCAATCTAAATTCGAGGATCGACGACGCACGCGTGGGGCATGCATGACTATAGATGGCGAAAGCCTTTCAAACTACAAGCCTCGATGATATCCACAGCCCACGACGTCTTCGACCGCGCCCTCTTGGCGAGATCCTGGCAGAGCACCATCAGCCGTTTGGAAACCTTTTCCTTGAAGGATTTGAGCTGCCCGCCGCTGATCTGCGGACGGGGCGCGCTCTCTCTATCCCTCTCTCTCTCTTTCCCCCTCTTTCTCTCCTCGCCTTCTCTCCCCGCTCTCTCTCCCTTTCTTCCTCTCCTCCTCTCTTGTCGTTGTTTTTCTGTCCTCTCTCTCCTCGATCTCTCGACGGCTGCGTCCTTCATCATACCATTATCCCCTTCTCCTTCTCCCTCGATCCCTCCCTCCCCATGACTGGCCTGCCACGCCTTGTCCTCAGCTACGTAGCCGAGCGCCTTCTGCATGGCTGCCTTGGCGAAGTACACCTTGCAATCAACCTGGGCTGGGCGGGTGCCATCAGGATCAGCATGCAGCATCATCACCATCACCATCATCAGCACCAGCATCATCATCAACACCCTCATCATAAACATCATCACCATCATATTTCGGCATCATCATCGTCGTGAGTTTCATCGCAGCCGTCCTCACTAGCATCACCACCTGGCACCAAACATCACCATCATCATCACCATCAGCACCATCAATCATCGATAGGATCAGCAGCATCATCATCGTCGCCATCACCATCATCACCACCCCCATTACTCTCCCAATGAACTCTGGCCAGGGCACTGAACAACTTGTAGTTGTCTTTCAAGATCTTCTCCTTGCTGGCGCTATCGTCCGAGAATTTCTGGGGGCCGCTTTTTTTTATATATATATATATAATCGCCAAACCTAGGCTGTCCAAACTTAATAGACCCTCCGTCTGGGAACATCCAAGGGACCCCCAGGATGCACGGAAACATAACCTCCCCGAACCGACCTCGATCTGCACGTGCAGGGAAGGCCGACAGGGCCAGCAAAGGTAATGAGAGGGGTGAGGACAGCCTCCTCCTCTCCTCCGCCTCCTCCTCCTCCTCCTCCCTCCTCGCCTCCTCCCCCTCCTCTTTCTCCTTTTCCTTTTCCTCTGCCCCCCCCCCTTCTCGAACAAACAAAACATATATCCTTGACGATGGGCGGCTCCGTGACCTCCTCGAGCATCGCATCGGCGATGCGGCGTGCATCCTTAAAACAGGACGATGCTGGCATGGCTGCTCGAGCAACGTCGGCTCGGCTGGCGAGCGGCGCAGGCGACGCGAGACATGACGGGGGCGGAGGACGTATACATATATATATATATATTTTAATACACATATGAATGTATATGTATTTATATATTTAAGATGTATACGTATCCATCTACAATGTATGTATATATGCATAGTATCTTCCACCAGCGCAAGAATTGCACTAACATGTATGACATTTACGTTTCTTGAGCTAGCCGGAAGAATTAAGCGATTGCCGGAAGAATTAAGCGAGGCGACCCTCTGGGTAGGGAGCCCCACCGAAGGCCCCACTGCTGCCGCCCGCATGCGTCCCGCACACCGAATCCGGCACACCCCTCACACGTTTCGTGGCCCCATAGGGAGCCCCACCGAAGGCCCCAGTGCTGCCGCCCGCATGCGTCCCGCACACCCAGTTCGGCACACCCCTCACACGTTTCGTGGCCCCATAGGGAGCCCCACCGAAGGCCCCAGTGTTGCCGCCCGCATACGTCCCGCACACCGAATTCGGCACACCCCTCACACGTTTCGTGGCCCCATAGGGAGCCCCACCGAAGGCCCCAGTGCTGCCGCCCGCATGCGTCCCACACACCGAATTCGGCACACCCACACGTTTCGTGGCCCCATAGGGAGCCCCACCGAAGGCCCCAGTGCTGGCCCGCATCCGTCCCGCACACCCAATTCGGCACACCCCTCACACGTTTCGTGGCCCCGTAGGGAACCCCACCGAAGGCCCCAGTGTTGCCGCCCGCAAGCGTCCCGCACACGAAAATTCGGCACACCCCTCACACGTTTCGTGGCCCCATAGGGAGCTCCACCGAAGGCCCCAGCGGCGGCGCTCACATGCGCATGCGTCCCGCACACCCAATTCGGCACACCCCTCACACGTTTCGTGGCCCCATCATCCACCGGAGGCCCCAGTGGCGGCGCTCACATGCGTCACCCACACCCACCTAATTCGGCACACCCCTCACACGTTTCGTGGCTCCATAGGGAGCTCCACCGAAGGCCCCAAAGGCCGCGCTCACATGCGTCCCCGCCACCCATCCCGGCACGCCCCTCACAACAACAGGTTTCGTAGCCCCATAAGGAGCTCCACCGAAGGCCCCTGTGGCACCGCCCGCATGCGTCACCACCCGCACCCAATTCGGCACACCCCTCACACGCTTCGTGGCCCAATAGGGAGCTGCACCGAAGGCCCCAGTGGCGGCGTTCACATGCATCCCCGCCACACATCCCAGTACACCTCTCACGCGCTTCGTGGCCCCATAGGGAGCTCCACCGAAGGCCCCCGTAGCGGCGCTTACATGCGTCTCTGCCACCCATCCGGCACCCCCCCCGCAGCAGCATTATGATTCGGGGGCCCATAGGAGGCTCCACTGGAGGCCCCAGTGGCGGCCCTCACATGCGTTTCCGCCACCCATATCGGCACGCCCCGCGCGTGTTTCATGTCCCCATCGGGAGCTTCACCGAATGCCCCAGTGGCACCCATGTCGGGACACCCCTCAAACGCTCCGTGGTCCTATGGGGAGTTCCACTGAAGATGAAACTCGCAGCTGCGGTACTGACAACTGCATATGGTTGGGTTCTTCGCCAGGCTAATTGTTTTAGCTCACGTCCGACGGGATGATTTTCCTCAGTGTCTGACGACGGGACGACACGATATCTCCGGATGTGATGAAAGCGGAGGCGCCCCCTCCCTCGCCGCGCACGCCCCCGGGCGGAAGGCGGGGAGGCGGGAGTGGGCGCTCGGACAAGGCGGCCCCGGCCGCGCCCCCGACGCCACGCTACAGTCATCATTTTCTGACACGAGAGGGCGTCCGGTGCCCCTGCACCACCGGGCGCTGCAAGCGATGCCGAGTATATGCCCAGCTCCCGAACAGCAGTGGTCAATTCTAATCAAGTGCGTCTGTGAGTACAACTGCATGTTGTTGGTTACGGTGCCACCACATCGTGTACTATTGCATTATGCTGCCCACGCGCACACCACATGTTGTATCTTGCCGCCCGGCACGCAGGAGTTCGACACCATTGCGCGGTTGGAGACGCAGGCCATCGATGCGTACAACGACGCCCATCATTACAGGAGAGCGGGGTTGTCGGGGAGGAGGGGGGAGGAGGAGGAGGAGGAGGAGGAGGAGGAGGAGGAGGGGGAAAACCACATATGTATATGTATATGTATATATATATGTGTGAATATATATATATATATATATTATATATATATATATAATATATATGTATATATATATATATATATGTTGTAGTGGCCTCCAGCCAGTGCCGCCGATTTGGGGCGCTACCGATTCTGCTTGCAACGGATCACCTTGTATGTTGAAAAGTAGAGCACTCGCTCGAGACATCCTCCTAAATGTAGATATATAGAGATATTGAACTCGTTTGGGCAACCTTCGGATATTCGAAAGTGACGACCTCGCGTGAACAACCAAACCCATGGGATGTTGACGCAGCTGATGTATGACACCTTTGGGGGGCGCTTCTGGGCTTCTCGGGGGGCTTTTTTGGAGGCATCCTGGAGGCGTCTTGGGGGCGCGCTGGAGGAAGTTTTCGAATCTTTGGGGGGCCTTTGGGGCCTCCTTGGGGCTTCTTGGGCCGTCTTGGGCCCTTTTTGGGCCGTCTTGGGTCCTTCTTGGGCCGTCTTGGAGCCCTCTTCGGGCGTGAATGGCGTCAGCCATGGCGTCGGCCCTCCCCCCCCCGAGCCTGAATGGCGCCAGCCATGTTGTCAGGCCCCCCCCCCCTCACAGAGTGAAGCTTGAGCGAGCTCCAACCCCCCCTCCCTCCTCCCGGGCCTGAATGGCGTCAGCCAAGGCATCAGCCTTCCCCCCCCTCCCCCCCGACTCCCCCCTCCTGGGCCTGAATGGCGTCAGCTATGGCGTCAGCCCCCCCCCCCGACAGAGCGAAGCTCGAGCGAGCCCCCCCCTCCCCCCTCACAGGCCTGAATGGCGTGAGCTCCCCTCCCCCCTCCCCCCTCCCGGGCCTGAATGGCGTCAGCCATGGCGTCAGCCCCCCCCCGACACAGCGAAGCTTGAGCGAGATCAAGCCCACGCTCTCAGAAACTCACTCGCCGGATCGTCGGATATATGTGTTATATATATATATATATATATATATATATATATATATATATATATGTCCGTAGCCATTTTGGCTCAAACCATTTTGGCTCAAGGTGCTCGGAGGCCTGGCCTGCGCCGCCCCGTACGCCCAGGCCCGCGCGATAGCCCATCAGCAGTCGGCCGGCACGTGCGGCTGCTGAGGATCGCCGGCCGCTGTCCGGCGGCGGCTGCTGGTCCGCGCTGCGCAAGAGGAGGCGGCCTCGCCTCGCTGCAGCCTCCGCGCCGCCACGAGCCGGTGCGGCCGCGAGTCCTTGCGCCATGTCGGCGGACTTGCCTTCGCCCCCTGGCCAGGCCCCGCCGGGCAGGTGGCAGAGGGTGTGGGTCCTGGACGGCCTTACCGTCTGGCTTGGCCCGCAGCCGCTCTTCCCGCACGCAGTGGCCGGAAGTGCGCCAACCCTGAGGCACCTGCACCTGGACGTGGTGATGCAGCGGACGCAGACAACAGTGGCGACGCTGCCGGTCCCGGAGCAGCAGGCACCGTAGACGCCGCCGCTCACGACGATCATCGCCGCGAGGAGGGCCCGGGCACCTCGAGCCTCTTCACGCCGCCGCCCAGCAGCCGCACGACAGCGGCGCCCGCCGCACTGAGACAACACGACCTCTCCCAGAGAGCTGACTCGTCAAAAGCGCTGCCCTCCCTGCCCACATTCCCGACCCTAGCTGGGGAGAAGCTCCAGAGCGAGGAGGGAGGAGAGGAGGACCAGGAGATCGACGGGAATGGGGAGCCCGAGCCTGAGCAGTTCATGAGTGTAGATGAGATGCTGGTCAGTTTCATTGACTCCGGGCGCGCTCTGATCCCATATTTCCCAGATTTCTCTATCAGTAACGGCTTGAACTATGAGATCCCTCCGATCAAGTTGGGCACCACAGACAAATTCTGTCGGCGCAAGCTTCAGACTCTGGCCCACAGGCTCGGCAAGCGTGCGGCAGGGCATCCCTGTGGAGCATTCCCGTGTATGTTCACCGACCGAGCTGGAGGTGCAGCCCGACAATACCATTGTAGCGCTGCTATCGTCCATGCCATTTGAAGCTTTCTTTTTGCCTGTTGGAGCTCTGGCGCAGTCATGACTTCGTCTAGCTACGCGCGTGAAGAGTGCGATCAAGGGATTGCCTCCTTCACCCCGGCAGCACCGTTCCTGATCAGTGTATCAGGCGTGCGCTGCTCAACCTCGCTGACAGTAGTGATGCAGGCGTGGAGTGCGACCAAGGGGACGCCTCTTCGCCACGAATTTGCGCAGCGTCGTGCCTGCCCAGGGTGGTGGCCCACGATGCTCTTGACAGCGATCGGGCACGTGCGTGCGTAGGCAGGCCTGTGCGCGCGTGTGTTCGGCGCGCGGCGCGCAGCACAGTGTTGCGCGCAGTGCGGCGCATGTGCATGGCTCAACGGGGGCAGTCGCTCCCGTCCGTCCCCTCCGTCCGGTCCTCGTCGGCGGCTGGGCTCGGCTCGAAAAGCGGGCGCGGGGTGGCCCTCTTGCCTCCCCTGCGGTCGCCGCGGCTGGATTCGGCTCGATGCTGTGCATCGTCCGCTTGACGGCCGCCCCGGGCGCGGCTGCGCTGCAGGCCGTGGCCCGTGAAGTAAAACGGTGCTGGCCCCGTCTTGGCCCGAGTGGCATTTTCGAACTGGCGCTCTTGAGACGCTTCGCGCAACCCTGGAGGAACATATATATATATATATATATATATATCTATGTGTGTGTATGTGTATGTGTATGTGCATGTGCATGTGTATGTGTACGTGTACGTGTACGTGTACGTGTACGTGTATGTGTATGTGTATGTGTATGTGTATGTGTATGTGTATGTGTATGTGTATGTGTATGTGTATGTGTATGTGTATGTGTATGTGTATGTGTATGTGTGTTTGTGCGCGCGTGTGTGTGTGTGTGTGTTTGCGCGTGTGTGTATGTGTGTGTGTGTGGGGGGGGGGGGAGGGGGGCGGGGGGGGGGGGGGCGCGGGTGTGCGTGGGTGAGCGTGAATGTGCGTGGGTGTGCGTGTGCGTGTGAGTGTGCGCGTGTGCGCGTGCGTGCGCGTGTGTGCGTGCGTGCGTACGTGCGTGCGAGCGAGCGTGCGCGTGTGCGTGTGCGTGTGCGTGTGCGTGTGCGTGTGCGTGTGCGTGCGCGTGTGCGTGTGCGTGTGCGTGTGCGTTTGTGCGTGTGCGTGTGTGCGTGTGTGCGTGTGTGCGTTTGTGCGTTTGTGCGTGTGTGCGTGTGTGCGTGTGTGTGCGTGTGTGCGTGTGTGTGTGTGCGTGTGCGTGCGTGCGTGCGTGTGTGCGTGTGTTCGTGTGTGTGTGTGTGCGTTCGTGGTGTGTGTGTGTGGTGTGTGGTGTGTGGTGTGTGTGTGTGTGCGTGTGTGTGGTGTGGGTGTGTGGTGTGTGTGTGCGTGTGTGTTGTGTGTTGTGTGTTGTGTGTTGTGTGTTGTGTGTGTGTGCGTGTGCGTGTGCGCGTGCGCGTGCGCGTGCGCGTGCGTGTGTGTGTGTGGTTGCGTGTGTGTGTATGTGTGTGTGAGTGTGTGTGTGTGGGGGGGCTTGTGTGTGTGCGAATGTGTGTGTGTGTGTGGGTGGGTAGGTGGGTGGCGGGCGGGTTGGCTGGGTGGGTGAGTGGGGGTGTGGGTGTCGGATGCGGGTGTGGGTGTGGGTGTGGATGTGGGCGTGGGCGTGGGTGCGGGTGTGTGTGAGAGAGATAAAGAGAGAGAGAGAGAGAGTCATTATCAGCTTCATCCAGTCTGCCAGAGGGGGGCCGTGAGGGTCTTTTGACCTGGGCCGGTACGCTTACGAAAGAGAGAGGGGGGGGGGCAGGGGCGAAACAAGACAGAGTCACGAGAGAGCGGGATTGGCGTGGGGCGTGGGCTTCTGCCGCAAAGATGCCAATGGATCGGGAGGTGATGGTCAGGGGTAACATGAGGCGGGGATGGGCTCAGGGGTGAATGCATCAACCTTCAATTGCCCAATCACCGCCGACCAGGGCCAGAAGGGAGCCACGTGTTCAAGTGGAGGCCAGGGGCTCCGTGGTGATAGAACTGCGTGGATGTTTCGACTGGGTTTAGGAGCGAAGCGGCGTGAAGCGCAGGGGATCTGGACGGCGTGGGCTGAGTGGACAGGCTCTGCGAGCCCTTGCGTAGAAGAGGAGAAAGAGTGAGAGAGAGAGAGAGAACAACAAAAGAAAGGAAAAAAGAGAGATCGCGCGAATCGGCGTGCCAGGGCAGAGAACCCCCTGGCGCACCTGCACGAGGACGAGGCGCGACTTCCTGGCCCCATTCGCGGAGCGACGGTCGCACATTTGCTGCCTCACTTTTACACTCCATTATTCGTCGTCCTTCATTTTCCTCTCCCCCTCGTTCCCGACCTGATATCCCCCTCGTCAGAACTTTCCTTCCCGTCATCATCAACATCAAGGGTCCGTCGCCGTTTCGGCTCAAGGTGTTGTCCGCACAGAGCGAGGGCGGCCAGGCAAGTCCACGACCAGAGCTCCCAGTGGGCTTTGATAGCAAGGCTTGCCTGCCCAGTGAGCTAGAAGCAGCCTGCGTGTACCTCGTGCTCTCTCCACCGCGGCTGCAGCACCTGCGTCAGTGTTTATTCGCCGCGAGCGGTCCAGAAAGTGTGCCGAATCACGGGCCGGCACGGCCCAGGCCGTGGTCACGGCTGGGCGCTCCCGCTGCGCAGGACCTCGGTCCGCATGTTCCGAGGGCGATTGAGCATCCAAGCTCAGATTTGGTATGTTTTTTGCTCGCAGTCTGTTTTTTGCTCGCAAGCCCCGGCGGTTCGGGTGGACTCGGCCGCGGATGGGAAGCCAAGCCGCTTCCGCTGTGCACCTGTAGTGCCGGGATTCCGCTCGGTCATTCGAAAATGGGGCCTTGAGTCGACGAAACACAATCATTGAGCAAGGCGCGTGGTTCACTGACGGGTTTCATACAACATTGACGCGCTCCATCGCCAAATCAGGATCAGGCGGAACTAGCTTCTTGGGGAGTCCTTTCCCAGACCTATGCCAGCGTGTGTCCGAATGCGGGATGGGCGGTAAATCCCAGGGTGAAGTTTGCCTTGTTCGAGGCCCCATGGGTCCCCTGCCTCTAGGCATTATCTTTGAAGCCTTGATCTGTCAACCAGTCATGGAACGCCTTAGGGAGAGGGCCCACCTGTCGAGAACAACGCGGTGGGACGCGTAACTGCGCCTACTGATTCCGCCCCGCGTGCTCAAAAAGGAGGGAGGCGACAGGAAGGGTAGGAGGCAACAGCCTAAGCGGTGGGGCGACAGATCAAGCCGCGACGCTTTGAGCCTGTAGTCGCTCTGCGACGGAGCTGGGGGGCAGGACCCCGCACGCGAAGGGGCAGCAACACGCAGCCGAAATCACCGTCGGTGGAAGAAGCGAACACCACCAGCAGGCAAAGGCAACCCTTGCGTGTTTGGCGACGGCGATGCAGGTGTGGGAGGCAGCGAGCATCGGAGGTTGCTGTTCTTGCACGATTCGTCGCACTCGGAGAAAAAACTGGATGTACCCGCGGGCGGGGGCACAAAACGAACCCAGCCATCACCAATGCCAATACGGACCCAGACGATTACATTCGGAGAAGACCTTGCCGACGATCCTCTCCAGGTAACGACGGCAGCTTCGAATTACAGGACGAGGGTGAGGTTGACCACGGTTGGGGGGTGGCATATCCGAACAATGCCGATGCGGTAAATTTGGAATCTGCAGGCTCCCTCCAGCAATCGCACGTCGCGAGCGTTGTCATATTGCGCGCGACGAGCGGCGCGTCCTCCGCAGATCCGCGAGCGCCAGCGAACCGAACCGAACAGATGGGAAGCAAGCGGTGTCGCAGGTTGTTGCCAGCGGCGTCGCATTTTGTTGCCATCGGCCCCGACATTTCAAGCAACATGCCAAAGTCTGGCACGGTCCTTGCACGAGTGCTCAGAGACCACATACTAGCGAACCAGCAGTCATCGCCAACGGCCTTAGATTTCTCATTCGCCTGGCCCACCGCAGGAGTTCAGTATGTTTGCGCGAATGTCAAGGTCTGCGTGCGGGTGCGTTAACCACAAGATGTACTGAAACGCTATCGAGCAGGCTTCATTTTCACCCTGATGCTCGCGGGGTGTGATGTGACGCATTCGTCGTCGTAGCACTGGCTCTCGCCGGCCGGGCACTTCTTTCCGATTGCCACCATGCTCTCGTTGCTGGTTGTCAGACATGCTCTATATGTATTCAGGAGCCAGTTGACATGCTGGTGTGATGCATAGTTCTGCGTCGCGGCGCCTGGCGAATCATGTTTTTCTCCGGGTCCAATGCGCGCGCCTGGTCGCGGCACATTGGACTCCCGCCCTCGCCCGCGAAGGGCCGCGCACACGCGTCCCAGCATGTGTCGGTTCGGTTCAGTCGTTTCCACCGTTTGCAGTCCTCGTCCTTCTTCTTCGCATCTTCATATCTCTCACTCTCTCTCTGTCATTCTCTCTCTCTCTCGGCCCGCGGGCCCGGGTTTCATCGCGAGTGGGTGGGATAGGCTCTGAGGTCATTGAGGTAGTTTCTTGCTGGGGGGCTCCGCGCCTGCTCGGCAGTCGGCGGGCGGCGGCCCCGCATCGTCTTCTCGGATGGAACCCCGCACGGTGCCCAGGATCGCGTTTGGAGGAGGTAGTTCTGGAGCCCCAGTATTGCGTCATCATTCTTCTTGCGGGGGGCCAAAATCAGGATCGCCGCCAACAGCACGCAGGCAGCGTCGCGTCTCGCCGCCATGTCGCAGGCCGACTTCTCGCGGAAGCTTCGCGGGGGCTCCAGGAATCGCTCTGGAATTGTAATTGCTGTTGCTCTGTAGCAGTCGGCGGCGGCCCCGTGCGTTTGCGCGAATGCGAAGGTCTGCGCGCGGGCGCGTCAACCGCGACGTGTATTGGAACGCTATCGAGCAGGCTTCACATTCACCCCGATGATCGCGGGGTGGGATACGAGGCATTCGCCGTCGCAGCACTGGCTCTCGCCGGGCACTTCTTTCCGATTGCCACCATGCTCTCGCTGCTGGTTGTCAGACATGCAAAATCTGTACTCAGGAGGCATTTGACATGCTCTCCCGACGTATAGTTCTGCGTCGCGGCGCCTTGCGAATCACGTTTTCCTCTTGGCCCAATGCGCGCGCCTGGTCGCGGCGCATTGGGCTCCCGCCCTCGCCCGCGAAGGGCCGCGCGCACGCCGAAGTTCGCCCGCGCGTTGTTTGGGCGCAGTCGCTTCCGCAGTTTCGCAGTCCTCCTTGTCCTTCCTTTTCTCCTTGTCATATTCGACTTTGTCTCTCTCTCTCTCTCTCTCTCTCTCTCTCTCTCTCTCTCTCTCTTTGTTTTGTTATTTCTCTCTCTCTTGTTTGTCTTCTCTCGTTCCAGCCTCGCCGGAGCAAATATCGGAATCCGTTTGGAGTTTCGTCGGGAGAACGTAAGGAGATCATTTTTTGTTTCGTTGCGTTGCTGGGTTGCTGGGGGGGGGTGCTAGCCACGCGTCCTTTTTACCCGCGTTGAGTACTAGTGGACGAGGCGATTACAGCAAGCGTACGGGACGCGTCCCTCAGAACCGCCTTAACATTGTTGTTGCTGTTGTTGTTGTTGAAGAATTCTCATTTTGAAGAATAATTATTGTTGATGCCCCCCACCAGTGCATATTGCTTTTTCTCAATCAAAGTATGCCCCTCGACGTTCGCACCCTGTTTTTTGACAGGGAAAGTCTTCCTGCTCAAACTGGGCCCCTGGCCCCCGGGTTACAACAACAACGGCTCCCGCTTGAGACCTCCTTACAATTTAGCCAGGACCCCCGCTCCCGCCCGAGACTTCCTCGCATTTTCCCGGATAGCTCCTTGAGAGCTGAGGGTTTCAGATAAGAAGCCGGCGGTGGGTGGTGAGGAGCACACGCCCACCTCCGCCGCTCCACGATCGTCGCAGCGGGTTGCCAGAGTTCGCAGCGTGTCCGGGAGCGCTCCAGGCACGCGTCCACGCGTGCCTGCACTGTAGAACGTGCTCCAGAGGCCTCGCGAGGCTCCCGGGCAGCGAGCTCCCACGCGTGCAGGCACGTGTGGAGGCGTCGCTCTCAGCCCTGCAGAAGCGCGCCCGGCCAGCTTTCCAGCGCCACCACGCTCGTTTCAAGCGTGCTCGAGGCTGCCTGACAAGCGTTTGCACGACCGCGGGCACGCCTCGCTTCAGGAGGCTCGGGGATTACACGCTCACGACCTGAGCAGGTCGTTAAACTGCTCGAGTTCCCGGATAGCTCCTTGAGAGCTGAGGGTTTCAGATAAGAAGCCGGCGGTGGGTGGTGAGGAGCACACGCCCACCTCCGCCGCTCCACGATCGTCGCAGCGGGTTGCCAGAGTTCGCAGCGTGTCCGGGAGCGCTCCAGGCACGCGGCCACGCGTGCCTGCACTGTAGAACGTGCTCCAGAGGCCTCGCGAGGCTCCCGGGCAGCGAGCTCCCACGCGTGCAGGCACGTGTGGAGGCGTCGCTCTCAGCCCTGCAGAAGCGCGCCCGGCCAGCTTTCCAGCGCCACCACGCTCGTTTCAAGCGTGCTCGAGGCTGCCTGACAAGCGTTTGCACGACCGCGGGCACGCCTCGCTTCAGGAGGCTCGGGGATTACACGCTCACGTTTCGGGCAGGCAAGCTTCGACCTGAGCACGATCTGAGCAGGTCGTTAAACTGCTCGAGTGGGAAAGGGGGCCCCGACCTGAGCAGGTCGTTAAACTGCTCGAGTGGAACAGAAAACAGAGGACTAAGGGGGAGAACGGAGGGAAAAGCAGAGAAGCAGCCAGAGAGCGAAGAGCAGGAGGAGCAGGAACGCGGAAGGGAAACAGAGGGGAAAGAACAGACAGAGAGGGAAAAAACAGACAACAGAGGAGAACAGAAAAGGAAGAACAAAGGAGAGACGAGAGAGGGAAAGAAGAGCAGCAGGAGAGAAGCAGGAAGAAAGAGAGCCGAAGCACAGCAGGAGGGACGACGAAGACAACGGCGACGCCACGCCCCGACGCCCGCGCCGCAGCGCCGCGCGGCCGCCAGCGCACCCCCAGCCCCGCGGGGCCGGCCGGGGGGGGCGCGCACGGCTGGCGCGGCGCCTGAGCGGCGCTGGACGCGCTCTCGGGCTTCCGGCACTGGCCGGAGGCTCGGGAGCGCGAACCTCCTCACTCTGGTCCATCCCTCGGACCAGAGTTCTCTCTTTTCACCTCGCCGCCTCCTTGGCGCTTTATAGCACAGCCGTGCCGGGGTGCTATGGAGACCTTGGAGGA